TAGACATACTAACAAAATATGCCAACAAGGACCTCCAAGCAACCTAGAACACAATGTCATAAGGTAGTCCTAACTTCCCCAAGGATCCTTTGCCAGCTGTATGGTGTAGCGAGATCCCGGAAACGATCTTTGTTAATACCGCTGCATAAGATCTGCGTTTGTCTTCACCTAGAATACTGTACACAGGCCTGAAGACTTTACTTGGTAGGAGACATTAAGGTGTTGGTGCAGGTTCAAAGCTATTTCCTGATCTTAAAGACAGAGCTCATGAAGAGATACTGGAAAACCTGGAGGTTTTCACTCTAATGAGGGAAAAGAGAGGGAACCTAACTTAGGCTTTTAAGTTTCTCAAACGCTACGTAAAAATTAGTTGTCAACCTGACCTCAGTAAATACGGATAACTTCAACTTGAGAGGTCATAACCTCAAGTTAAAAAAGAACCCCAACGGGTCTCAACTTCGCGCAGCTTTAGACTGAGTCGTAATTGACTGTAACAATCTTTAAGAGATTATAGAAGCCACGAAAGTTATGAGCTTCAAATACCGAGCAGATGCGGACTAGAAGCAAGTGTTTACGTCGGACACTTCTGACAAATAGTGCCACTAGACGTAAGTATAACTCTCCTACTTGACTTTCCCGATGGTGTCCTCTATCAAATTTATGTCGGTTCTTTTCCCATTCCTTTTCCTATTATTAGCTATCCCAGTGCCACCTTAATCTTTAACCAAAACTAGTGCTGGCGCTATGGTTTAGTAGCTATCATCGGCATGCTTTGGATCCTACGGTCAGATATTCGAGCTCCGCCACCGCCACCGAGCTTTGGTAGTAGACAGCGTTGCTCTTGTCCGGTTTAATACCGGGCCTAAATTAACGAGACCTTCTACGGTTCGCCACTCGAAGTGCCGGAGCTTAGTTTACCGGCTTCCATGACTGAAGAACAGTTCCAAGTAACAATGGGGTTTAACCCGTATGCTGCTTCTTCCGTCATTACCATTGATTAGACCATTGTTTGAGCGGTTTTCAGATCACATCCATGAGGCTGCTCGTAAAATATGGGAAAACCTGCTGCGGAAAATACGAGTCAGGATGGTGGTAGTCCCCGGTGGACGTCTTCGAATACCAGCAACGGCACCTGACTTTTCCCATTGTATGCTGTATGGCGGCTCTTGGATTGGTCACTTTCTTCTACATAAAAATTATCATTTTGTATTCAACAAAGACAAATAAAATGAGAAAGAATAAATCTCC